ACGTATGTCTCTGCACCTGCATCTGCACCTGCACCTGCACCTGCACCCACAACCACACCCACACCCACAGCCACACATACACTCACACCCACACCCACACCCACACCCACACCCACACCCACACCCACACCCACACCCACACCCACACCCACACCTACACCTGCATCTGTATCTGCATCTGCATCTGCATGTATATAAATATATATAAATTATATATATATATATATATATATATATATATATATATATATATATATAAATATATATATATATATATATATATATATATATATATATATATATATATATATATATATATATATATATATATATATATATATATATATATATATAATCTTAGACTAGGTGTTACAGGGCATTTTCAAGACTCTTTCTTCCTCTACCCACTTATCTCTAAAATGTATATAATTCGGCTCTAGACCTACATTCTTATATTAAAATAAATGTTGCATCAAACCCTCACCAATATATCAACCCACACTAACATATCAACCCTCCAACATATCAACCCCCACCCACATCAACCCACACCAACATATCAACCCTCACCAACATATCAACCCTCACCAACATATCAACCCTCACCAACATATCAACCCTCACCAACATATCAACCCTCACCAACATATCAACCCTCACCAACATATCAACCCTCACCAACATATCAACTCTCACTAACATATCAACCCTCACCAACATATCAACCCACAACAACATCAACCCTCACCAACATATCAACCCTCACCAACATATCAACTCTCACTAACATATCAACCCTCACCAACATATCAACCCTCACCAACATATCAACCCTCACCAACATATCAACCCTCACCAACATATCAACCCTCACCAACATATCAACCCTCACCAACATATCAACCCTCACCAACATATCAACCCTCACCAACATATCAACCCTCACCAACATATCAACCCACACCAACATATCGAACCCTGACCAACATATCAACCCTCACCAACATATCAACCCAGAACAACATAAACCCTCACCAACACATCAACCCTCACCAACATATCAACCCAGAACAACATAAACCCTCACCAACACATCAACCCTCACCAACATATCAACCCACACCAACATATCAACCCCCATCAGCAGAACTCACACAACACACTCTCACAGACATCAAATCACACCACGTACATGTACACAGTCGCCAACACACACGCCAACACACACTCTACATCAACACACACACGCCAACACACACGCCACATCAACACACCCAAACATAGCACAATGAGAACAAATAAATACATTCCTACATACACCGTTACAATACACCAATACAAAAGTATTTGAGTCCGTCTGATAACGAAATTTTATCTCTTTATATCCCTAGCTAATACCACACACAATATTATCCGATTATATCCTTTGGTTTTAATCTGGGATTACCCTGCTATATTAAATGGTCTTAATTAACGCAGCGACCACCCCTTCCCCCTCTGCAAAAGCCCTTCAACATTCAGCAGATTCAAAACAGAAAAGGTTAGGGCCGTGTCTAATAAATAAGTATGGGCTCAGTGGCGTCGCTAGGTCGGGTGCCACCTCATGCAGTAGCCCAGGTTGTCACCCCCCACCAACGAATATATATATATATATATATATATATATATATATATATATATATATATATATATATATATATATATATATATATATATACATATAATGTACAAACACCGTTAGGAATTTCGTGTTATGCCCTGTGCCTAATGATGAAACAAATGTAATTAAGTCATTAAATTAACTTGGAAAGGCAGATTTTATCATTAAAATGAGTTTTTTTTTTGTGTCGCCCCCCCCCCCCCCCCTCCCCTAAAAGTTTCAAGAGCCCCAAAGAAGAAAAAAGAGTGAAAGAAACACTGCTCCCTTTGATTTTGATTTCTTTCAATACTTTCCTTCATACTCCAAATACGTGAAATTTACAATCCAAGGGAGTTAACTGTATAAATATTAATTGTATTGTTTTCGCTCGATGACGTCCCCTACATAAAAAAAACAGCCGAGGAAATAAATGCCTTATGCTGATATTTACTTGACGTGGTTCTTTACCTGGCTTTCTGTGAGTCAGTCTCAAGGGTTCGTCGGAGGTCAAGACTTCCCCCCCCCCAACTGAAATGAAAGTCTGTTACCCTCTTTCCTGGAGTCTTATAGTAACACAAACTTCACTTTTGTACTCAAGATCCTGGGCTAGTTGATTTTTTATATGACGATGCATTTTAATTCGACATTGGTTTTCAAAAAGCATTCTATTGTAGATAATTTATTTCTCGGCTTCTTGGTCAAAGCCATTTTCATTAGAAGGTATTTTTTTTTTTACCGCTTCTTCAACCAGTACAGTTTTGTTCTGTATTTGTTGTTAATTTTTTTGTTAACTATGTGCGAGAAGCAGATACTTTCTGTGAAATCAAAGTCATCGAGTTGTGTAACCAATTCACCAAATTTTAATATTAAAAAAAAATACAATTTGGAGAAGATTCACAGCAGGTTTCATTTTTTGCTAGTTACTTCCCATTAATACAAAAAAGAACATCAAGGGAAAACACCTTTTACTAAGTTAACAAACTTTGTTAAAAATATGAACTGATTAAAAAGTGAAAAATACAAATTGTTAATTTTTGCTTAATACTCATAAAAAAAAATATAAAAAAAAATAAAGCATAAAACTTTGTCATTTACATTTCGTTTATTTCAATTTTATCATGTATTCTATTTAACCGAAAACTATACCCTAATCAAATTCTTAATCTATAAAATAAAAAAAAAAAATTTCATTTGATTTCCAAAGATGATAGCGTATTTCCTATTGCATAAAACTGTATAATTTTAATTCTCTGTTATCCCAAATTTATTTCAGCTCTACTTAAAAACCCAAATTCCACCCAAAAATATTACTATTATAAATCTGTATCAGTCCTCACAAGCCGGTGATGAAAACTGTAATACTAAAGCGAACACACACAACTGACGCTGTAAATTACATGTCTGAGGCAAAAAAAAAAAAAAAAAAAAAAAAAAAAAAAAAAAAAAAAAGAAAAAGCAAAGAAAAAAAGAAAAAAAAAAAATCTCCAATAGCTCCTGATGTTATACTTCCTCTGAGTGTAGCCATGCCCTAGATGGGCTTGACACATTTAACTCCACCCACCCCTCAACTAACTTATAAATAAAGTAACACGTCATACAAATCAAAACACCGAACCTCTCGGGACACGCATCACTGACCCGGTAGTTTTACCTAAACCTTCCCACCCCCGCCCACCATTTTATTCGCCCCGTCCCTATGACCCCCACCACGCACCCCACCCGTAATGGAACCGAATAGTTACCTACTGTTTTATTTCTTTCGCTAAATTACCGTTTTCCTATCTGCTGGTCTCTGCATTTTTCGCCAGGCTATCCTAACTTTCCCGACCTCTGCATCTTTCGCCAGGCTATCCTAACTTTCCCGACCTCTGCATCTTTCGCCAGGCTTTCCTAACTTTCCCGACCTACATGCAGGCCGTTAAATAAACCTGTCCAAGGTGGTTTCTTTTCTCGCTTTTAGAACGCTTTCGAAAAAGTTAGGAAAGAAGAGTCATTAAATAGCTTCGATGCTCAATCAGTTGCAACTTTTTTGGGGTGTTTCTTTTCCACGAACTGTGAAACCACCTAAATTCCGTTAATCGTATCTAACATTTTGCTCGTACGTCAATTCAAATTTTAGCTCGCTCCACTGTAGGCTATATCTATTATCAGAAGCGTGTTCTTGTTTTATGCAATGTAATAGAAAAGACGTGCACTTGAGTTAGATCAAATTTATTTGTTTTAAAAATAATTCAAAGAAAAAATCATGTTTTTTTCAAAATATTAATAAAATAAGTTAATAAAAAGTCTAGTGACAATTTAAGCGCAATTTCCTTATGTTATCCATAACAATTTTAAATCGAGATAAATCATATATTCAGCAAATAAATAATGCAACACAAGTAGTTTCAATAATTCAAAACAAAATAGAAAAATCCTTTCGAACCTCCGCTCATTCGCTATGGTAAAATCCTTTCGAACCTCAGCGCTTTGCGCTAAATCATCCTAGGCCTATAGGACGCTCAGTTTAAAAATTCTTAATTAATTTTTTGTGGCCGAACGAAAGGATACTTTTGAAAACTTTCTTCGGCAATATTGTTCTAAATTATGGCAGGAATCGATTGGTAAATGTTTTAAGTCGCTAAGTGGTCTGGTTGCCGAGATATGGGCCAAAAACTGAATTTTTTCGAGGTTTTTTGGCTTTTCCGGGAAATCCGGGAATTTTTTGGCCTATGTTCATCCTCGGAACTTGCTTAACATATTTGCTTTTGGAACTAGTCCTCGATATTGCTTCGTTGAGGAGGAGATACGACTTAAAGACGACTTACATCCATTCCCAGAAATGGAAATTGCGCTTAAAACAAAATAAAATACAATATACATTTTATAGATGTCTACAAATGTCGCAATATAGTTTGTTTCCAAATATCCTGCCTCATAATAAAAATATGGATTTATATGTGGGCCTACATTTTAATATTTTTTTTATTTTTCTCAATATTTAATTAGATGAAAATAGCGCACTAGGAAAGACAACCCAATAAAATAGTTTTAAACATTTATTTCCCTAGTTGTTTCCCTTTAGCAAATAAAAACACACCAAATTTCCAGTTATTCTTTATGAATATTTTATCAAATTTTTTTTTTCCAACAGATCTACAACATTTCAAGGCAGATATAATAATGTCAAGTCAAGCACTACTGACATATATATATATATATATATATATATATATATATATATATATACATATATATATATATATATATATACATATATATATATATATATATATATATATATATATATATATATATATATATATATATATATATATATATATATATATATATATATATATATATATATATATATATATATATATATATATAAAGTATCACAGATATATTTGGGCGATCTTTCTCGAAGTTTAAGTCCATGTAACAGTCTCCTCCCTTTCTACTGTCGTGAGCCCTGCAGACAGATCTTTATGTCGTAAAATCTGAGAACAGTTTACACCGGAAGTTGCTGCAGTTTTGTACCGTGTTGCAGCTCACTTGAAAAACTTGACATCCGTTCAAGCTAATTGATAAAATAAAAATTTAAATTGAAATGACTGGCGACCCTAAAAATAATAACTCTCTCCTCCCCTCTCATTACTGTTAGATACCTTGAAGAGAGCAAGACGCCATTGAACTTTTGAATTTATCTTATGATTTTTTTTTAATGCATAGATATCGTAGATTATGTTATAACTATCGCCGTTATCTTTTCGAGTACGTTCTCAAGACATCAGAGCTGGGTGGACTAAAAAAATGTGACGTCACTTATTGACGTAATTCCCCTCCTTTTAAAAATAATTAACCCAGTCTAACAATAAATTTGATAGCTGAGCCGATAATCGTCGAATTGTCCCTCGTCAACTTGTCAGTCGCCCAGTGGTCAGTCAACTTGTCAATAGCCAACTTGTCAGTAGTCCAGTCGTCCGTCGTCAACTTGTCAGTTGTGCAGTGGTCACTCAACTTGTCATTAGTCCAGTTGTCCGTTTTCAACTGGTCAGTAGTTCTAGTAGCCAACTTGTCAGTAGCCGACTTGTCAGTATTCCAGTTGACCGTCGCCCAGTTGATCGTCGCCCAGTTGACCGTCGCCCAGTTGACCGTCGCCAAGTTGACCTTCGCCCAGTTGACCGTCGCCCAGTTGACCGTGGCCCAGTTGACCATCGCCCAGTTGACCGTCGCCCAGTTGACCGTCGCCCAGTTGACTGTCACCCAGTTGACCGTCGCCCAGTTGACTGTCGCCCAGTTGACCGTCGCCCAGTTGACCGTGGCCCAGTTGACCGTGGCCCAGTTGACCGTCGCCCAGTTGACCGTCGCCCAGTTGACCGTCGCCCAGTTGACCGTGGCCCAGTTGACCATCGCCCAGTTGACCGTCGCCCAGTTGACCGTCGCCCAGTTGCCCACAGCCCAACTCACCTGAAACAGTTGAACGCACACCCCACCTCCGTGGCCACGGTGATTTCCGCCATGTATGACCCTGACCCTGGCAGCGTGGTCAGCAGGGGCGGGAACATGCGCTCAAACAGCTGGACGTGACCCAGGGGACTGGCCGCCACCGGACTCGTGTGGTTCAACATACCGGAAGTGACAAAAACCTTGGGCAAGGCTGGGAGAAAAGATGGATTGGATCAGAACACAATGTTGAAAGAAAAATTAAGTGTCATTAAGTTAAATTTGATTTCCACAGAGATTATGATATAACAATATTTTTATTCAATAATTTACAGACGGAAAACTCCACATCAATCGACCCGGTCCCTACACAAAAAGACATATAGGAGATATGGTACAAATGTATGTTATTACCTTTCTTACAGACGTAAGCGCTAGCCTCTAGTGGACAGTCCAAGAACGCCAGGGTCCCGCTGTTTCTGAGCGCCAGACACTTGGAGCTTGTGGCCAGTGGTATTCCAGATACACCAGTAAACAGTGACCAGTCAGTACCTTATAAACATCAAAACTGACCAATCACCGACATGGAAGAATCCAAAGGTGATAGAAATATAATGAATCACCAAAGAATAACTTTACAATGACACTGTAAGTGGAGCAGTTGTGCCCTACCTGGTATGTTGTAGGTAAAAACAGAGCCATCATCAAACTGCCAACTTCCGGTTACGGTACCTCTGAGTCCTATCCAGAGAAAACCCACCTCGTTGATTGGAAACTACAAGAAAGTTTGAGGACAAAAAATGCTGAATGACGTAAAAAACTTGCATTCCCACTCCCGGTCTATGGGGACAAGATGAATTATACATCGTAAGGACAATATAACCTATCGCTACATGAGGACAAGATGATCTACCCACTACAATAACAAGATGACCTACCCACCTCAAGAACACGATGACCTATCCAAAGGACAAGAAGACCTACCCAAAGGAGAAGATGACATACCCGCCACAAGGACAAGAAGACCTACCCGCCATAAGGACAAGATGACCTACCCGCCACAAGGACAAGATGACCTACCCGCCACAAGGACAAGAAGACCTACCCGCCATAAGGACAAGATGACCTACCCACCACAATGACAAGATGACCTACCCACCACAAGGACACGATGACCTACCCGCCACAAGGACAAGATGACCTACCCGCCACAAGGACAAGATGACCTACCCGCCACAAGGACAAGATGACCTACCCGCCACAAGGACAAGATGACCTACCCGCCACAAGGACAAGATGACCTACCCGCCACAAGGACAAGATGACCTACCCACCTCAAGGACAAGATGACCTACCCGCCACAAGGACACGATAAATTCCTTTTCCCCAGGACTCCACACGCTGGCCAGTGACGCGTCGTGACTGACGCAATAATTTTTAGCAGCGTCAGCCTGGATGCCCCCCGCCACAACCAGATAGCAATATTCACTGTAGTTGCTCCAGCCCTCATCACAGCCGTAGGCTTGCAGGCTCGAATCACACTCTGTACAATCGGGGATTATGGACAAATGTTGAGTCATATATAGGTTTTCAACAAACGACCACATTTTAGCGTATTCTTTGAATTATCATCATAATCACTGCATTATTTTTTCGGACAACGAATATTTAACACATTCTCAGAATTTATTATAATTCAATCACTAAGCACACTACAACACACATATTGAACACTAGAACACACGAACATTGAACACTACAACACACATATTGAACACTAGAACACACGAACATTGAACACTACAACACCAATATTAAACACTACAACCCAAATATTGAACACACTACATCACAAATATTGAACATTACAACACACATATTGAACACTACAATACAAAAATTGAGCACACTACAACATAACAATTAAACACACTACAACACAAACATTGAACACACTACAACACAAATATTGAACACAACAACACACATATTGAACACTACAACACAAACATTAACACACTTTTACACAATCGCCAAACATACTAAAACACGATCACTGACCTCACTACTACACAATCACCAAATTCTCAAACCAATAAACTAATTTTTACCACAATCAGCTAACTCAACACCATCTAAACGCGAGTGACTAAACAATCGACGTCATCGGCCAGCGTACAATGAGCACCTTTTAGTGTTTGTCATGACATGTTTTAGAAGCACCCCCGTCCCCCCCCCCCCTCCCAAAAAAAAACCAATATTTCATTACAAAATAACAAAATGATGTATGTTGATTTTTTCTTTAGAAGAAAAATGGCTCTTAATACAACTCGTTAATACACATTGACCTATACTCGATACACACTGACCAAAAGACACCAAAACATCGAACACACTGACCAACCTTCAGCACAGCTGGTCAGACAATCAACACAGTGATCAGCATACTGATCAACAGACAATCAACACACTAACACTCTGAGTCAGTACTGACCAACAGACACCAACACATGGACTAACACACCAACGAACAAAATGACCATTACATTGTCCTACCATCCACACAACTGACCAGACAATCAATACACTAACCAACACACTGACCAACACATTGACCAACACACTGACCAAGACATCAACCAACACACTGACCAACACATTGACCCAAAAATTGACCAACACACCAACCAACACACTGACCAACACACCAACCAACACACTGACCCACCTTCTACACAGCTGACCAGCACGACCAACACTATCGTCCATCTAACTGCCATTGTTGACCGCCCACTACCTGAAACACTGACCAGCCTCTCTAGCCACTTTGACCTCTATCAATAACTTGTCTCCCCTTTGTCCTCTCTACAACAGAAATACAGTGAGAAGTTTTGCGTGCATTGAATAAGTAAATGAGTTTTTTTTTAAGTTGCTCCGTTGCTCGTTTTCGGTCAGGAATACGATAAGAATCATATCTAGTTCAATGGATATGAGTTAGTATTCAGTCGGATTACCAGAAATGTGGATTATCTATCCGTCTTGAATAGTTTGACGTGCCTGAGTCAACTCAGCTGGTGTGGCGTACCTAGCTCTAGTCAGAGAAACTAGATACTGGGTACAGTATTGGCCACACAATTCCTTCATTTGCCAATGTAAAAAATAATAAATAAATAAACTCTAGTTCATCTACATTATAGACCGTCAACTTATTAGTGGTGTTACTTCCCTTTATCTCTATGTGGTACGGTGGGCAACTAAACAATGAATGTAAGTTCTAAAGCACTCACCCACCTCCTGGAATAACCAACCCTCGTCCAACAGCTCAACCTCCAGAGAACTCAAGCACCACGAGACTCTCCCTGGTGGCTGAAGACACCAAGTGACCAATCAGCAGCTCGCGTTTAGTCACGTGTATCGAGTTCCTGACAAGCAGAAAAAAAATGAGCAAGCGTGAAGCTCGCGGAGGAGTACGTGAGTGGCACTGGGAGGGACCCCCCCCCCCCCCCCTCCTCCGTCTTATTATCACAGGGTCTACGTAGTTCTTCCGTCTCTAGAACCAGCTCTGTAAGTGCTGTGAAAATAGTGATGGTATCTGCTGCCTGCCTTTGTTTTGTGGGTAGCATGTGGAACAAAGATACTGATTCCATCATCGCGGTAAAGATGTATAGGCCTCATAAAACTCCCTTTTGAAATAATTCAATGGAAAACGTGAAACTGTTTGAAAGAAATGACATTTGTGCTTAATGTTAATATAAGATTTTAGTAAAGGCTAGAACACTCGTATGTAGCAGTAGTCTGTAGCACGTAAAGCTTGGAGTGTTGATCAATTGGGAATATTTCTCGTCAACCAATCAGAATGTGATGACTAGTCCCTAGCTCGCGGGCCAAATTTTGCTTGGGGTAAAAGGTGGGTGTAAGAAAAGTATGGAACGTGATATATATAACCCGCTTAACATGGGGTGGGGGTAGGGCTGATAAGGCAGCAGACCAGAGCCCATTATATTTAGCCCCCCCTCCCTCCCTTTTCACTTAATTTTATTTAACAAACGATAATAAATTACACTTTTCTACAGACTTCTTAATTTAACTGGCTAATTATAATTCCTACATTTAAGTTTTAATTATTCAACACAAACCAGATTAATATAAATTGTTTCCCAGGAGGTGTCTTCATAACGTGCATATGTTAATAGCTACTGTCATTAACTCCTGTTCGACCTTTGTTGACATAAAGATAGCTAGCAACTTAATTACACGTTAGTTTTTTTTACAACAGTTGGGGATGATCCACAAAACACTAATATCCACAAATATCCACACTATGAATGCCTTGAAGATCCTTTACAAGTGAGAGTTGAGTCTAACCCTATCCATTCATTGGTCAAATCTTGATGTATTAAGCTTAAAATGGGAGCATAGATTTTATCAGCTACCTTACACACACAGCGTTATTTCCCTAACATAATAGAAAAAGGACCTGACAGTCTGTCCTGTTCAGTAAGAAAGTAAAAAAGATATGGAGAGATGTTTAAAATTAGTACAGAAATTTCGAATACACTTGTGAGTTTCTTCCAGTACACCAAAAAGTACTTACACTCCAGAAGAAAAATGTATGAATTCAATGTCTGAGTAGAGTTTGAGTCGTATGAATCAGACCACGGCAGACATTTGCTTTTGTTATACACGAACAGTGCTTCACATAGTACTTAAGATTTAACATGTACAAATGAATGATAATAGTGTGATAAATGTTGCTGTGTTTGACCCCTTCTAGGGTATTTGATATTCCTGTAAGGTTGTAAATAGTAATAAAACAGATAGTGTTAGTTACCTCACAAGTTAAAGACAGTTACAAATACCATGGAGGTTTCGACCCAAGGTCTTCGTCAGCACACAACAGTGTGGTTACAGATTAGACAGAAAAGACAAACTCCACTGCAGCTACCATTTGTATGTAAGAGTGTACATACATGAGGTTGTAAATAGTATTCCTGTAAGAGTGTATATATGAGGTTGCTAGCTTACAGGACTCAAGGCATTGTGTTGGTCTCTCAATATATTCAGTACTAGCTAACAGGTGGATAATATAGTATATGATTGCTGCAATGTTCACAGCGAGTCCTTTGATACAGAAACTGATCAGCTTTTTAACATTTCACCTACAGTGTTTGTAGGTTTACACTCTCTTCTGTCTCCTAAATTATTAAATTTATATCGTTGATTGTATTCTCTACGTGTAAATATGTTGGTCTACTTTCCTTTTACGTTTTGCGACGTGTGGGGCAAATGAAGCACAGCTCACCAGTTTCGGTAAAATTGGCTTATAAAAGAGTAGTAGTGGTCATCTCGATGCCTAGCCGTCATTACGTGAATCAGTAGCTGAGGTGGACCCGGGTGGGGACCCTGTCACTCTCGGGTTAGCATTCATGCGCCCTACCGTCCAACCTCGCGCCCCATATTCAAGTATGCATATCTATATATATAATTCTCTTCTGGGAGCCGTTAGAAAACAAGCTGCAAGCGCCTCCTTGCAGTCCCCTCTCTTTCTCTCTATCACTATCACTACCACCCCCACCCCACCCCCACATTGTCTGGTGAGCTGTGGTCACGCTAAATGTATACAAAGCTAAATGTTTACAAATCGTAGAGCCGTAGAGCCGGGTTTCTATTAGGGGCAGATAATTTAGTTCGATTTTAAACTTACATGAGGTAACTAAGAAATAACTAAGAGGAAGCTGCTTTCACGGGGGGGGGGGGGGGGGGGGGGGGGTGTAGGGTCGGGGTTAGGGGAAGGGGGGGGGGTAGTGTTTTAAAGCAAATATTTTCAGTAGCAGCATTGGTACTGCCGAATTCACAAATCATGAATTACTGAAAAGTAGAAAATAAAACAACTAAATAGCGGCGTATGATACGCCGCGGGTCGGCTGGTTCACATTAATAATTTTAAGGCTCGGCAATTGATAAAATAAAATATTATAATTTTTTTGAACAAGTTTAGACACATTCCACTGTCAAGGCTTTTTATATGGCTTTGGGTTATTCACTTTTAATTTATACTTTTAATGAACAAGGGAAATAACCATTAAAAATAATTCCAAAGTCTTTGAAAAATTCAACAAAAATTTAAATACCAAAATATTAAAATAAAAAGCCTGATGTTTACATTCTATGTATTAGCTTTAACATTTTAAAATAATAATTTAATAATTATGTATATGGTTTTTAAAAATAAGTATTATTATTACATTATAAATAAAATATCAAACCTATAGCTGATTTGAATAATTGAATTTACCAATACTGAAAAGTTACTTCCATTTAAGGTTATGTGAATTTCCATTTGGAACCTTGTGTGTGTTATTTTTTTTCCTTCACATTTTATACATTGTAAGTACTTTTTTTCTGTTTTATTTCTTGTGTATGTTGCCTGGCCCCGGATGGGCCTCACGCACAACTATGTCGGAAAAATACATCAAACGGCTATTCCTGCCTAAGTTTGGCATGGCAGGACATGCACCAAAAACTCTAGAGATTTTCATAGAAGAGGGTTTTTCTTTAGCTACACTCACAGCTGACGAACTAAAAAGAGAGCTATGTATGTTATGTAGCCTATCACCAGCTGAATTTGAAGGTCTGTACAACTATGGGACACTGCGTAAATGGTATGTCACCATTAGATCAAAGGAACTATATGAGAAAATGCACCTAAAAGAATTTCACAGAGATTTGCCACCTGGGGTAACATCCAGATACAGAGTGCAGAGAATATCAATAACCCACGCCGATAAATCTGGGCAAAGGGGCATGCTGAAATGGCTGCCTTCCAAGACAAGCGACGATGATATAATGGCGATTCTGAAATCTATAAGCAGTCAGGACTCAACACCAACATTTAAGAGAATAGACCAATCAAATGTGGTCCAATTCACCATCTCTCTGGAGAAAGAAGATGTGGAGAGTGTGCCACACTATATTATACTTACAAATGAGGCCAACAAGGAGAGCAGAGTCCTTATAATCCTCAATGGAAGGAGGGTGCAATGTTGCCACTGCAACACAGACAGACACCTGCCTAAAATGTGTGAGCATTTGAGGACTCGCGCTCTTGACGGCGTCCAGCTAGTAGATGGACAGTACAGGGCAATTGAGCCTTGGGATGCAAATGATAAAGAAGAAGTTAGGGAGCATCTAAGTAACAATAGAAATTTCTTAAAGCATTGGGACAGTTATGATGTTGACGGAGAAAGACAAAATGAAATGCTTAGAGAAGCAAGGCATAGAGAGGTAGAAGATGCCTTTGGAGTAGATGGCCAAACTGAAGCACATCATACTACTGCAGCATCACAGCAAGTTAACGAAAGCGTAACAGAAACCACCATAGAGGCCGAAGCCATGGAGACAATAGCGATCAGAAATTCCATAGTAACAGGGTCTCAAAAAGATGGGAATCAAGAAAATTTGGAGGCTGTCGATGAAACAATAAATGATATTCTTCAAGATAACACTAGTTCAGAAAACATAACGAAACCGCTAAAGAAAATTAAAAGCTCACAAAGTATATCAGCAACAAAGGTATCAGGTTAACTGTCATATAGTCAAGCAATCAGTTCAAGTAAAAATCAATTACCTACAGTAAAGTCACCTCAAAGGGTCGTGACCAGGGCCCAACGGGATAGCAAACCAGCGGCTGGAAAGTTTGGCGTTAAAAGACCACCACCATCCAGCCCTCCAGAAACAGATGTTCGAAAGAAAACCCCAAATAATTCATGCTAACTCTGGCAACATTGAACATCGGGGGGGGGGGGGGGGCTAGGGACAAACACATTATATAAACAACATAATAAATAAACACAATATTGACATCCTACTTTTACAGGAAACTAACATTTGAACTACAGAAGAAGCAAATAAACTAGATGCATAATTAATATCGACAGTCTCAAGTTAAACATCACTCGATCAGCCCTCAAGTAAATTAACATTAGAACAGTCTTCTGTTTCCCAGGTTTTTTAAAGTGCACAACCTGAATGGTAGAAAGAGATACACACCTCACCCCCCCCCCCCCACACACACACACACTTCCCCGCACTCAACCGGACTGGCGGATTTTTCAAGGTAGCGTGACCTCTTTGCCAAGTGTCAATTTTATGTCATGGAAAGTTTTGGAATGATGGATCAGTATGTGTACTGCAGAGACACTTCTCCCAAGCAGTGGCGGAACTAGAAAAATTGGGCCACCCCGCAAAAAATTTTTTTAGGCCCCCCCCCCCCTCCATACATACATACATATATATATATATATATATATATATATATATATATATATATATATATATATATATATATATATATATATATATTTATATATATTTATATATATATATATGTATATATATATGTATATATATATATATATATATATATATATATATATATATATATATATATATATATATATATATATATATATATATATATGTATATATATATATATATATATTTATTTATTTATTTATTTATTTATTTATTTATTTATTTATTTATTTATCAAACACGACATGCGAACATAGGATATTCATTGCTGGCCTGTTCGGGTTTTGAAAAAAATTGTGGTTTTTTTTTTTCAATTAAAGCAAATTATATCATCATGCCATGTGTGTAAGTGCATTAGTGAGTTTTGAGAAGACAAGCAGTGAGTTTTGTAAAATTCAGTTTTATTTTATTTCTGTTATAAGACCTCTTAACCTCTAGTCGTTCAAAATAATATAAACCATGAAAGCTTTGTATGTAAGTTATGGTGTCTCGTGTTATGTTTATTTTCATGTTTTTGTTTCGAATTTATATTATTAATTTTAAATACATTTCCTTTTTATACAATGTTATTCATAAGTAAGTACTTTACAAATAAATTATAATTAAGAGAAGTAATTGCTTTTTAATTTGTTTAGTACAAATCTATTAAAAGGAGCTAATGAGCACCTTTATTTGACTATTTAAAAAAGGGAAATAAGTCATGGAAGTGGTTTGAATGTTTGCTTAGCTTAATGATAAGTTTGATTGTAGGAGAAAGAGGACTTGGCTTTCACAGTGGTTTAAATTTAAAAACAAAGGGAAAAATATACAAGAGCGTGGGATGGTGTCTATAGAAGCTACGGTAATATTTTTTACAAAACAACCATCAAGTAAAAAAAAGCAAGGAAATTATTTTTTTTTAAATATAAAAAAATTATTTTGGTCGGATGTGGGCCCCTAAATGGCGTGGCCCCCCCCCCCCCCGCATTGCGGGGTCTGGCGGCACTGTAGTTCCGCCCCTGCTCCCAAGGTCGTTTCTATTTCTGTCCATGGGCGGCTACAATGTGAACTTTTGACTCCTCAGCTAAGGACAAAGCACAGTAAACTAAGCAGTCAAGAGAAACCTAGTTTGCACACCTTATTTTAGTCTAGTTCTTATGCCATTTTATTTTCTCCATTTGATTATTATATATGCAATTGATGTTCATGTCTTTGATGCTGTGTAAAATCTATCAAATAAATAATTATTACTGATTTAAAGGTTTAAAACAATTGAATTAATAAAACAAAAAAAAATAAAAAGGAAAAAAAAAACTAATTGAGGACTGTATAGATATAGATGTTTGAAAGGGAAGAGTGTTTGCTTTTACGTGTCTCATTGTAATAACATAACTTTTCCGATTGCTTAAAATTTGTATCATTTTAATTCTCTGTAATCCCAAATTTATTTCAGCTCTACTTTAAAAAAAAACAAATTCCCCCTCTCCCCCCCCCCGTCCCCTCAGCCCACCACGCCGAGAAAAAATAATCCCTTGAATCATCATTTAATTTTAATTACACATTTGCATTTTCAGTTTCAGGTTAGTTTTTAATTTTTAATTTTTCTTTATATTTAGACGTTTTGTATTACATCTATGTATATGTGAACCATCTTAAATGAATGAAAGCAGGCTACAAGTAAGAAAGAAATATTACTACTGTAATATATTGTAATATATTGTATTACTATTTCGTTTTCATTTGATGTTCAAAATTATGTAAGAATTTGATGTTGATGTACTTGTTTTAAATTGCAAATAAAAGTATTTAAAAAAAAAAAAAAAAAAAAAATGTGAAAAAAAAAAAAAAAAAAAATGTGTAAGAACGCTCAATAAATACAATGAATGATTAGATTTAATTAGAGCAGTACTTCTTAGTTTTAGTAGAGATTTAGTAGATCGAGATCAAGTCCTCTTTAAATCAACATGGCTCAAAGTAGCTATGTTAAAGAAAAGTCCATGTTGATGGCGGAAAAGAAAACATTGACTGATATGCTGTATAAATTTCAAGACCAGTTAAATCGTCTCAAGATTGAAGAGCTTGCACTTAAAAGTCTTATGAAAATGCAAGCCATGCAAAGTTCTAAAAAAAACTGGAGAAAGTAATGGTGTCAGTAATTCTTTAGATTCTGTATCTGATATTGGAAGCTTAGTCTCAAAAGCCTCTGGTGCTGAATCTTACAAAGAGACCCTAAATCTCAATGTGGACACACATGAAATGGATGATCTTAAAAGACTTGATGACTTCATTGAAGAAGAAGAGGATGAAGAAGAGGAAGTAATGGATGAAACCAATGAAGAAGACTATAATGATCAACTGAAGAGTTACATGTATTAATGAGTGGTTAAAGCTTGATGACATTACTAATTGGTCATTTTTCTATCATATTTTGGTTATCACATTGCATTGAGAATGATCTCTCAGTGGCTGTGCATCTTTGAATTGTACCCTGTTTTAATGGTAAACAAAGGCTGCATTGATCTTGTAAATACTCTTTTTTTTAATAATATTAATATTGTTTACCTTATTCATGTACATTGTGTATTTTATTTTGTATTGGATTGATAGAATAAATCTCTAGTCTAATACATATTAACTTACTTGATAGTTAATCAATCATGATTCTGAAAAATCTTTTATAGATTATAAATAAACCTAGTGTAAAATTTAAAAAAAATAAATGTGTACGACTTCCTTTTCTCTCCCCCTCTATCCACTTTACCCCCAGACATGATAACCCCACAATCCCTTTAACTGTTCCAACGACCCCACCACCCACCGCAACATCAATATCCAAAACTTATTTAAAGTTCTAAATCTTGTCTCTTTCCCCTCATCTTTCACACTGCAACCTTTTGAAAACTCAATGCGACCACTACAACACCCTTTTAACTAGTTAACTTAAGTTGTTTCCCTACATAGAAAATGCTTCACTGTCCCATTGACCCTCTCTGAAAAATTTCCTTTCCTCTCCCCACCCAGACTTCTGACACTTTCATTTGACCTTCACCGCTTTTACTGTCATCCTTTGCAATTTTTTTTTATAATCAAATACATGACATAATGTAAATATTCATTATGTACATTTGCCAAAACCTTTCGTTTTCATTTGGTGTTCAAAATTATGTTAAAAAAAATTTGATGTTGATGTACTTGTTTTAATTGCAAATAAAAGTATTTAAAAAAAAAAACTAATAAAATGTGCATTTTCTATTCTCCATTTGATTATTATATATGCAATTGATGTTCATGTCTTTGATGCTGTGTAAAATCTATCAAATAAATTATTAATACTGAAAAAAAAAAATGTGTACGACTTCCTTCACAACCTCAGTATCTAAGGAAGGAGAGATAAAACCATCATCAGTTAATAATTAATGTTTAGTTCTCAGTCCTAGAATGATTTTATTTACTTTTTCAAAGATTACTTAGAACTCATATAGCATAAAATATAAAACCCAAGAACTGAAAATGGAAGGCAATGCTAAAAACACTGTTGCCTTCATGACAACCAAGAACAGGGAGATGTTCCCAACAAGCATGGCCCAGGACAGATTTGGCAACGAGATGTCACTTGTCATTGGCAACCCTAATGTTGGCCCAGGCTGTTATGAAAACGAAGAAAAAACCAACATGTATCACTTAGTCAAGACCAAACTTGTGAGTACAAAGGGATACACTTTGGGAGCCAGAACAGGAACAAGATTGCTCAAAATTTATCAGGACAAAACGCCATCACCAGCTGAGTACCAGCAGCACACAACTGATCCTATTGTTGCTGAAAAGGATAAAAAGCCTTTCAAAGTCGGGGCAGAGAGGTTTCCTGTTTATAAAAGGGATTTAGTAGATGTAGTGCCGGGAGCAGGAACCTATGAAGTGAACACACCAATCAACAGAAAAGTAGAATGGCACCAATCCTTTGGCAGTGCACCAATCATGCTACCCACCATAACACATAAAAGCACCATAGAGAGAAACACAGATAAACTATACAGCACAAAAGAAGAAAGAAAATACCACAGAAAACTCGCATTTCTGAAGCTCTACTACTAATTCATGCAAGCTGACACAATTAACTTATAATCTGCTAGAACTAGGAGAATATCATCGGAGCTAAAAATGTTGAAATTTGAAATCATTAAAACTTACATCCCAACATTTTGTATTTATTTTCATTGTATATTTTGTTGAACATTTTGAATTTCTATAACTATATTATCGTGGTTAAAACTTTTTTTTTGTTGCTGTGGAAATAATTTGTAACATATTTTACATGAGTAATAAATGATGTAGTTAAAAAAAATGTGTACAACACGCTTGCCACTAGAAATAACATCCATACGGCAGTTGATGTTTTACATTCACATATTGCAGGGGTCGGCAACCTTTTTAGACGGAAGAGCCAAAAGATACAATTTACACCATTACCCAGTTTTTAAAGAGCCACTAACATTTTTGTGTCAATAGTATGATATTTCTTTAGGATTATATATATGAAAACACCATTCATTGTTTATAGTAATGCTGAAGTGATTGAATAGTAGCATTGGTTTCATAACGATATTTTTTTTGCAGATTTTTGTAATTAAGTAATTTACCGCTCACCATGTTTTCAACAAAAAAAAAGTATTTTTTTTTAAACAAACCACTTCTTCAAACAAAGACATAGGCTCTGTTTTCCTTTCATTTTTACACTTAGCTGGTTTAGTTTCTTTGTGATATTCACTATGAAGTTGAATGTTTCATTTCGGAATGGACAATGTAATAGGAAGTACATTGAGATAGGGAGTAACTAAATATTCTAATATAATAGTGAATGTTTATTGTTTATAACTATTGTTATATCTTTTATTACCGACTGTTGCAGACTAATATTTTTATGAGTTTTGAAATTGAATAAAATAATTACTAATATTTGTGCATGGAGCTGAAGAGCCGCAACTGGACATCAAAAGAGCCGCATGCGGCTCGCGAGCCGCAGGTTGCCGACCCCTGACATATTGGATTATCTAATATACAACCATGAAACCTATTATGCTCCATGGCCATGAAAGGTCCATTACACAGATCAAGTACAACAGAGAAGGAGATCTCATTTTTTCCAGTGCAAAAGATCCCCAACCTAATGTATGGTACTCTCTCAATGGAGAAAGATTAGGCACATTTGTGGGCCATAATGGTGCTGTTTGGTGCATTGATTGTAGCTGGGATTCATGTAAAGTACTGACAGGTGCTGCTGACAACACTTGTAAAATCTGGGACTGTCAAACAGGCACACAGTTGAACTCCCTGGAAACAAGAACAGCAGTCAGAACAAATGGATTTTCTTACAGTGGAAACCTTATCATGTTTACTACAGACAAGACTATGGGCTGTCCTTGTGAGATACACATTTATGATTTGAGAGATGGATCTCAAATGGAAACTGGCACCCCTTTAAAGACAATCCCTATAGAAGGGAATACCAAAAAAATTACTTCCGCTATCTGGGGACCGTATGAGGATTTTATACTAACTGGACATGAGAACGGAGAGATAAATCAGTATGATTTTAAGACTGGACATAAATTGAAAGGCTGCTTGGACCACACAAAGCACATTAATGATATACAGCCATACAAAGACTACAGTATGTTTATTACCGCCTCTAAAGATAATACAGCCAGGCTGTTTGATATGGACACCCTTGAGCCAAAGAAAATCTACAAAACAGAGAGACCTGTCAATTCTGCTGCTATCTCCCCACTCCATGATCATGTTGTGGTGGGTGGTGGTCAAGAGGCCATGCAGGTCACTACCACATGCACTAGGGTTGGCAAGTTTGATGCTCGTTTCTTCCATCTTGTGTTTGAGGAAGAGTTTGGTAGGGTCAAGGGTCACTTTGGGCCCATCAACAATGTTGCATTCATCCAGATGGCAAAAGCTACAGTAGTGGAGGTGAAGATGTTTATGTTCGAGTACACTATTTTGATTCAAATTATTTGGACTTTTCTTTTGAGTATTGATAGAATTGCAACTTAGATATTTATTTGATTGAATTGTAAACAAACACAAAAAAAAAGACATTTACAAATAAATGAGCTGTACCTCAAAAAAAATTGTTTCAATCTCGGATAGTGTACGAATTACAGCTGATGATACTTAATCTCATTTAAACAGGTTACTATATTCTTAATTTTAAAACAAAAAGATTTGAAAACCTACCTTAAACCTTTTCAGATTCACCAACAGTTTCTAGAACTACTTGAAGAATAATGTCCAGACTTTAATTCATCTGCAACAGCCACGCCTACAATCAGAATTTCTTCCAGGCATCTCTTAGAGGAGGGGGGGGGGGCGTAGCACCACCTATACGCTCCCCTCCCCCTAAGAAAGTCTACCACCGAACGAAATGGAATTTAAATAGAAAACATATACTTTTACCAGTGTCCGCTTCCCCCCCCCCCAAAAAAATATCAAGTGTCCCTCCCCCCCCTCCCCCGGAGAAAAAAAGTCTACAATGCAAGTCCTGATCACATCAAGAGGACAACCAAACCAGCGCGGCTATATAATTAGAGATCTCATCAGCAACCAACAAATTCTTCTACTCAACTACTTCTCCTAACAAGCCTTTGACGTCACCACAATGCACAACACAACCAAAACTTGAAAAAGACTAGATCAATAGAACCCTTAGATGACCCCCCCCCCCCCTCACACATACAGTCAACAATTACACACTCATACAGGCACCTAGACTTCTCAGCCAAAAAGAACCATCAACATGCACAATTTCTCACACCAACAACCGCAGCTTCAACATCTACACCAACAACCGTAGCTTCACCATCTACACCAACAACAACAGCTTCACCATCTACACCAACAATAACAGCTTCATCATCTACACCAACAATAACAGCTACACCATCTACACCAACAACCGCAGCTTCACCATCTACACAAAAAACAACAGCTACACCATCTACACCAACAACAACAGCTTCACCATCTACACCAACAACAACAGCTACACCATCTACACCGACAACAACAGCTTCACCATCTACACCAACAAGTCAGCAAATATCCCACAAAACTTCACCATCTACACCAACAACAACAGCTTCACCATCTACACCAACAACCGTAGCTTCACCATCTACACTAACAACAACAGCTTCACCATCTACACCAACAACAACAGCTTCACCATCTACACCAACAATAACAGCTAAACCATCTACACCAACAACCGCAGCTTCACCATCTACACCAAAAACAACAGCTTCGCCATCTACACCAACAACAACAGCTTCACCATCTACACCAACAACTGCAGCTTCACCATCTACACCAACAACATCAGCTTCACCATCTACACCAACAACCGCAGCTACACCATCTACACCAACAACAACAGCTACACCATCTACACCGACAACAACAGCTTCACCATCTACACCAACAAGTCAGCAAATATCCCACACAACTTCACCATCTACACCAACAACTGCAGCTTCACAATCTACACCAACAATAACAGCTACACCATCTACACCAACAACAACAGCTTCACCATCTGCACCAACAACAACAGTTTCACCATCAACACTAACAACAACAGCTTCACCATCTACAACAACAACAACAGCTACACCATCTACACCAACAACAACAGCTTCACCATCTACACCAACAACAACAGCTACACCATCTACACCAACAACAACAGCTTCACCATCTACACCAACAATAACAGCTTCACCATCTACACCAACAATAACAGCTTCACCATCTACACCTACAACCGCAGGTTCACCATCAACACTAACAACAACAGCTTCACCATCTACACCAACAACCGCAGCTTCACCATCTACACCAACAACAACAGTTTCACCATCTACACCAACAACAACAGCTTCACCATCTACACCAACAACAACAGCTTCACCAGTTACAGTACCCTCTACAACAAGTTACAGTACCCTCTACAACAAGTTACAGTACCATCTACAACAAGTTACTGTACCCTCTACAACAAGTTACTGTACCCTCCCCTCTACAACAAGTTAAAGTACCCTCTACAACAAGTTACTGTACCCTCTACAACAAGTTACAGTACCCTCTACAACAAGTTACAGTACCCTCTACAGCAAGTTACAGTACCCTCTACAACAAGTTACAGTACCCTCTACAGCAAGTTACAGTACCCTCTACAACAAGTTACAGTACCCTCTACAACAAGTTACTCTCTACAACAAGTTACAGTACCCTCTACAAATTGAAAATTTGCTCCAGAAGGGGCGCCAAATTGAAAGTTTGTCCCCGGGCGCCGGGAAGGGTCGCTACGCCTCTGAGGCAACACCCAACGAACTGTTACGGAACCATGAAATAAGCCAATTATTATTAAGGATTACTGCACATTCACTTTCAGTAGTGGCATTATTCCAGATTGCGTTTCATTTTATTGTTAATGAAGTCTTAGTTTCATAGACGTCTTTTGTCAAGCCGCTGGCATAGGTTATGTTAATATTCTCTGTCTTACGTGAAAGGAAATAAACTTGCAATTACAATTTTAAACAATAGAGACCTTTGTTGGATGACTTATGTATTAGCTGTTTACATTTTTTTTTCAATTCTTAAATTTATTTTTAAAACCTAACCTGTGGTACATTCCCAACTTCACTTCCTCTATCCCTTTCAACCCACCATTATTTTAGCTTTCAATTTTTGAACATTGATACTCATATAGACGTTTTGTATTTTGCGTAAATGAATAAATAAACCATTGCGAACACATAAAGTTGCATGTTAGAAAGAAGTTGTAAATCAGTATGCAACGTGATTTATAAGCAATATCTTAAAATAATGTAACCTTGTTTTTTTTCCATTTTAATTTTAATGAAATTTGCTTTTCCCCCTGAAATTTTAAGCTCAATATGGTACCCAGCATAGTTATGACGTACCCCCCCCCCCCCCATCCTCTCAATAACATGTTGCAAGCGAAAACGTCTTTGATCCATCTGATATCAATTTTTTTTTCTAAAATATCGATTGGGTTACAAGATCATTAGGAGAAAAGTCGATTTGATTATCCGACCAAAAAATACAAAGGTCGATAGCGAGTTCCTGCGATAAAAAGTTTGGTGCCTCGGTGTTATGATGGATATGGATGACAGATGGATTGGCCTGTCATTAGATGGACATGCGATGGATGATGACAGATGGATTGGTCTGTTGTTAGATGGACATGCGATGGATGATGATAGATGGATTGGTCTGTCATTAGATGGACATGCGATGGATGATGACAGATGGATTGGTCTGTTGTTAGATGGACATGCGATGGATGATGATAGATGGATTGGTCTGTCATTAGATGGACACAAGTTAAGACCGTCATCGATATGGATGACAGATAGATTGGTATATCCTTTGCTGGACACAAAATATACCTCGCGTTTTGATGGATGATGACAGATAGATTGGTATATCCTTTGCTGGACACAAAATATACCTCGCGTTTTGATGGATGATGACAGATAGATTGGTATATCCTTTGCTGGACACAAAATATACCTCGCGTTTTGATGGATGATGACAGATGGATTGGTCTGTTGTTAGATGGACATGCGATGGATGATGACAGATGGATTGGTCTGTTGTTAGATGGACATGCGATGGATCATGACAGATGCATTGGTCTGTTGTTAGATGGACATGCGATGGATCATGACAGATGCATTGGTCTGTCATTAGATAGACATGCGATGGATGATGACGGATGGATTGGTCTGTCATTAGATAGACATGCGATGGATCATGACAGATGGATTGGTCTGTCATTAGATAGACATGCGATGGATGATGACAGAGGCATTGGTCTGTGTTTACACCTGATTAAGTGCCTTTAGTACTACCAATACTAACTCAATCACCATTGCTGAATCTATAAGTTAAATGATTGATTTTAGCGTTTAATATTTGTGGGTTTAGTTTTAATTTGTTTTGCTTTTAAACATGTCTTCTAACGGTCAAAATGGGTTTGTTTAATTAATTTACTTCAAGTGTTACAATTTATTTAATTAATTTATAATTGGTTGATTTGAGTAAATGAGTTTCAATTATAAAAAAAAAATCATTTATCTGTTAAAATGCGATTGGGGTGCTAAAATATGATTTGTTAAAATGTGTTTGATTTCTTAAAATGTGTTAGATTTCTTAATATTTGTTTCGTCTAATCCATAGTATTAAACCACACCCGGAAAATTCATCTTTTTTTATGAGCTGAATTGCCGGCGCCATCCCATAATTCTCGAATTGTTGAAGACATACCAGAACGTTAGACGCCATCGAAGCTGGGAGTTAGTTATGGGAACAGGAAATCAATATATGGATTAGCAGGCTCGAGACTGTGTGTGTGAGGGGGGTGGGGGGGGGGGGGGGGGGGGGGGGGGTGGGGGGGTGAGGTGATGGGGTGGGGAGATATGTCGTTAGATCTACAACTCGTTGGCTAGAAGTGGGGAAAAAAATTAGGGTCTGAACGAAGGGAAATGTTATACATTTTGTCATGTTTTGTCTATTTGACTAGACTTCATGCACCCTTATTCATCGATGTTTTTTTTTTAAATTTAAGTTCGTCAATGGCATGTATTTATTTTGGACTGTAAGTCATCTATTGGCTTCTGTATAAGATATTGACCTCTGGTTTGTATACTGACCTAAATGTCATTTATTGGTATCCATCTCATCTATTTGCACTCATGTCATCTATTGCTTCCATGTTATCAAGTCATTTACATCTATCGGCCTTCATGCAGTAAATTGGCATCCATGCCATGTATTTGCGCTCATGTCATCTCTTAACCTCCATGTCAACTATTCGTCTCCATGTCATCTATTCGTCTCCATGTCATCTATTCGTCTCCATGTCATCTATTCGTCTCCATGTCATCTTTTTATCTCCATGCCATCTATTCGTCTCCATGTCATCTTTTTATCTCCATGCCATCTATTCGTCTCCATGTCATCTTTTTATCTCCATGTCATCTATTCGTCTCCATGTCATCTTTTTATCTCCATGTCATCTATTCGTCTCCATGTCATCAATTCGTCTCCATGTCATCAATTCGTCTCCATGTCATCATTTCGTCTCCATGTCATCATTTCGTCTCCTTGCATCTATTCGTCTCCATGTCATCTATTCGTCTCCATGTCATCTATTCGTCTCCATGTCATCAATTCGTCTCCATGTCATCATTTCGTCTCCTTGCATCTATTCGTCTCCATGTCATCAATTCGTCTCCATGTCATCTATTAGCCTCCATGTCATCTATTTGTCCACATGTCATCTATTCGTCTCCATATCATCTATTTGTCCACATGTCATATACTGGCACCCACGTGATCTATTAGTATTTATCTCAACTATTGATCCCCTTGCTATACATTGGCCTCGATGTCATACAATTCTCTTGATCCATTACCCTGTATGCTATCATATCATGTTCACATTCCTTTATTCCATCTCTTGTATCATCTTTTACCCCACCTATACTTCCCCACCCCATCAATAACTAGTGTGTACAATTTAAAATTATCATCCTTCCCTTATTCTAAAGAGTTTTTTTAAATACACTTGTGATATTGACGAAATATACATTACGGCTCTCAGGTAACATGCCTGTGCAAGTAAAAAAAAACAGGCGAAGTAGAGTTTTTGTTTCGTATTATCTGAATAGCACCCCTCAATCTTTAAAAATCCCCACCCCCCCACCGGCAACCCTTTTATTAACGCGCAGTTCACACCAGTGGCGTAGCGAGGTCGGGTGTCACCCGGTGCGGCACTTAATGGTGTCACAACCCAGAGGCGTAGCGACCCTTCCCGGGGACAAATTTTCGATTTGCACCCCCCCCCTCAAACTTTCGATTTGCACCCCCCCCCCCTCAAACTTTCCATTTGCACCCCCCCTAAAGTTTTTCTCTATATATTCTATATATTTTGCTATTTTTTGCCTTGGTGTCATCCCCCCTAAATGGTGTCACCCGGTGCGGTCCGCACCCCCCCCCCCCCCCCCGCTACGCCCCTGGTTCACACTGTTGTTAACAGGCCGGTGCTCCTCTCAAATTTAATTAATAGACCTAAAATAGATATCTTAACTCTCCCGTCCAGATAACTCCCCGCCCTCACTCCTAACAGGACTTCACCCCAACAGTTTACACGAAACCACCTACCATACAGACTAAAACACGAGGTCTAAAACTCATTTGATTCTACCTTCTCGTCTAGATTCAATCTACACTAGTTCACGAAAGAAACGGATATTCCCGAAAACCAAAAATAAAACTTCACCGTTTCGCTTATTTTTTTCTGTAACACAAAACTCGCTGATCAATTCATCATATTTGTTGCCTCCCAATTGGCTTACAAATACATAGCTCGTTAAACCGGATATCGAACTGTTGTTTACCCAAGAATGGTCTCCCTCTCCCTCCCCCCCCCCCCTCCATGAAGCTGTATTCGGTTAGGCCTGTATGTTTGGGCTGAGCAGTGTGAGAGAGGTGGTATCGTTTGGAGAGGGACGCAAACAGTTAATTGAATTAGCTCCCCTGGCCGAGTTACGGGCCTTA